CGTGCCAGCAGCAAGAGCAGCTTCAAGAATGCGAGGTGGGAAAGGCTGAGAGGCAAAATGAGAAAGAAGAGACTGCAGCACAGCAAAGAAAGGGAGACCACTGGTAAAGGCAGGAGCAGGTACAGGACAAAGCCTCAAATAGTTGTGATTGATACAAAGATTAATGTTTCTGGGAGTCAGAGGAGACACACAGAAATCACTGCAAAGAGAAAGTTATTAGAGTTGGAATTAAAATTAAGACCCAACCCCTAAGGAAATGAGCAGGTTAGGGAGAAAATTATCAACAAGACGTTTTATTTCCTTTTTGATGTGCTTTTTTTTTTCCTCTTAAAAGCTAATTATTCTTTTTTATACTCCGATAAAACCCAGCTTTCAAGTTAAAAAGACCCTTTAAGTCCTTGGAAATACTTTAAAAAAAAGACTTAAGAGCTGCATACAAATCTCTGGTCAACTCATGGTTTTGCTGCAAGGACTGCCACAGCTTGTGTTGTGGACACTGTAAAAACAACATAAGCAATTTTTTCTTTTGTTTTACATCAGCAGGCCTTAGTAGAGAGAGTGCTTAACTGTGAGTCTCTAGATAAACCTAGTCCCTACTCTATCACTTAGCCTTTTGGGTGACTTTGTGGAAAGTTTCTCCCAGGCAAGACTAATACTTTCTACCCTGTGAGACTTTCCTCACCTAACCCCATCTTCCTAGCCTGACCAGTACTGTCCTAGTTTTGTCCTTATAGAAACTTGCTGGACTTTCAGGCTCTCCTGATCTTAGTTTGCAGACTGGAACTGTCATCTACGTAGTGTTCGACAACTGATGGTCCTGGTTTCATGACATTAATAAAAAGAAACAAGAGGTAAGGTGGCTGAAAAGGATGGGTGTCTGCTTTGCAGCATAAAGCAACAGCAGCAAACTGCCTCCATATTCTATAATTTAGAAGTACTAATGAACAAAAAGATAGTATGCGTAAATGCCCAGGAGTATAGGTTGAAATAGGTTGAAGATGAAAAGGCTTGCCAGTCCAATATCGTCCCATTGAACTCAGCCTCATACACCTCTGCCTTGTTATAAGGAGGGTGTAGTTAGGAGAAAAAAACCTTAGTGCTACAGCTGAAAATCATGACCCAGAGCTAAAACAATGATTCCTGCATGCAGCACTCATTCTTCTGCAAGCACCCTCTATACTCCTCTGTGATAATGAAAAGCAGAGAGCTCATGCTCTCATTATGTATTGAATAGGCTTCCTAGTGCATATTCCAGTAAATATGTTAATATAAACAGGGTAAGAATGCACTGCCTCAGTTTATATCTAGTTCTAGACACATAATATTGCATATATATTCTTTTTCACCCACAGCCAAATAAGCTTTTCTGATTATTTATTGAGATACGAGTTATAATGCACAGCACTTGTTACCTCAGGCATTAATTTATCACTATCAACCACTCTTCAAGGACAGAAAAATGTTGATTCCTTCTTGCCAGTGTTCTGTGAAACTAGACTGTCTGAATACTTATGGAAGAATGGTAAGAAGGCTTTGCATGCTGTGCTGCAGAAGACGCCAGTGATTAGCTGTTACATGGGTCACACAGAGACATCTCATTTGTCCATCACTTTTTAACAAAAAAAAGAGATTTTTTTTAATTTATTTTTTTTCTTTTGTAGTTAAGGCTGCTTTAAAAACAAGCTTGTAATAGGATTCAAGTTAGTATTGCAAAGGAATTCAGGAATACACAACGATACTCAAATTCAATCCACCACATAGAAGTAAATGAAGAATCAGGAGGAGGTAACGCTGAAGACTGATGAGTAGAAAGACAACTGAAACAGGAAGGAAGCCGAGTTAGGATTCTGTTTCTGGAATTTGGCCTTGGTGTACAAGGTTGCTGTGAAAAAAAATTAGTCACACTTCAGTGTGGAGGAGGACAGAGCAGGCTGCATTATGGGGAGGAACGTGGAACAGAGAAAGTCTGTTTATTTGCGTTCCTTATATAAATAGGTCCTGAATCTAAATACCAGAATACTATTTCTTCTGAAGGACAAAACCAGTCTGGCAACACTAGTTACCTCTGACCTTCTTCAAAGGCATACTGCTTCTCCAAAAAGCTGATGTGTGGGTGGAATATTATGCTCCTGTCTGAAACTCTATCACATACTTTTTTTCCTTTAAGGTGGATAGATTATTTATTTTCTCCACAACTAACTGCAGTGAGAATGCCATTTAATGGAGCTGAAGATGACCTTAAAGTAAATGTATTAAAACCTGAGCTTTCATAGCTACTGTTGTTAGCAGTATCATGGCCAATGTGTTTGTAGCCCTATGTTACGTGTGTCTACCAGAGCTGTCACTTCCCATTAAGTAACAGTGATCAGAGAAATGTGGTATTTTCTGGGAGATACTCTTTGGTAACAGTCTAAATATCCTTGAGCAATGGGCACAGAGAGAATTGATTTGGGGAAAGAAAAAATAATATATATATATATATATATATATATATGGCTTCTTGGATCTCTTTTTCTCAGGTAATTCAGTGTGACTTTAGAGATCAGAACGTCTTGTGAGTTATGTCTTGTTAAATTTTGACTCAGGACCATTCACTCAAAAAAAAAAAAGGAGGTACAAGTAAAAATAGTAAGGGGTTTTGTTCAAAGTTCTCTCTTCTAGTAGTGACCAGGTAGCCAAATATACAAGACACTTGCTTTCAAGATTATGTGAAAAACAGAAGTCTAATAAACAGGAGAGGTCCTAACCATGGTCAGAAGATGGCAGCCTCTAATGCTCACTGTTGACAATGGATAGTGCTGGTTTTGACAGAGCACAAAACAAGAGTCAGTATAGCACATGAAGATGCCTTTGTGCACCACAGCATTTCTTGAGGGGATGTCAAAGGTAGGATCACAACACTGTACACTATTACTTTTACAATAATTTTTGGTTTTAAAATGTGGGAACATTATATCATTAAGAGGAGCACAAGGGGTCACTGCTTTGCCACTGTAGTTCCTCTAACCATTTAGAAAGTAGAAGACTACCAGATTGTTTCATAGATCATATTTGCAGGCTTTCTGGACTATGTTTAAATACGTTATCCTGAAGATAAATGCGTTCTACAAGATTATCAATCCCTGAAGCTGTATAAGTTTTCGGTGAAAAATTCAGTATATAATTAAAGGATCCAGTGTCATAACTCTGAATTATGAGCTTCTTTTAAACCTGGTCTAGTAAGTTAAATCATACATTTTAGACATTGATGCTGATCATGAATAAAAGTTCATCAAAAATATGTTGCCTTCAGCATACTTTTACCTTCCAGGTTAATTTATCTGCTATCAGAAATGTTTCTCCATAATATACTGAATTCAGTTATATAACTTTAGAATGATGCATGTTAAGGAGAACTGGAACCTAACTGTGAAAACCCACGTTAAGAGACAGACCTTTTATCTGCTGGTGAAACTCATAAATAAAGAAACAGAGCAAAACTGTGCAGACTGGCGAATATTAACTTGCTTTATTTAAATCCGTCAGGCTTCTGCAAATACAACTGTACCAATGTCCCCAAATACGACTGTCCACCCTGAGCAATCTTTCTTACAGATCTGCCATATCTAGACTTTGTAGATCAGGTCTGAAACATTGTCTTGCCCGTTTATCAATTAGGAAGCCTTTGATAAACAGTGAGGGTATGACAATTCGACAAGATGCATTTGTAACAAAAAAAAAAAAATTATTATTTCTCTTCAGCTTTGGTAGCCTTTTCTGTGATGAACACTACCCTAACACAAGCATATGCAATATTCTTGTCAACCTTCCCAATGGTCACTCTCACAGCTGTTCCAAAGACAGCAACACAAAACTCTGGGTCAATTCTCTATCTTCCTTTAAAATGGCAGATTATGACTACCAGAAGCTTTCTTCATTTCATGCCAGTGATGGTATTTGATCACTTCTGGAGACCGATACACAAGCAAGATTATAGCTAGTTTGAAGCTACATGTTCTGACTCATCAGCTGGCTGCTCCTAGGAACTGTGCAGGTCCCTGTCTTTCTTTTTAAAGAAAACACAAAAGACAGTAGAGATGCAACTGATTTCCTCTGTTCCCCTTCCCCAGAGACTGCGAAGGTGCCTCGAAAGAACAACAACAGGATGGGAATGCTTGGGCAAGGCCAAAACATGGACTGGTGTGGACAATTGGGGTGGGCTGGCCCACAGGATTGATGGTCAAGAGAGTGCAACCAGCAGGTGTGTACAAAATTTGATATACCAGATGTTTAGAAGCAGAAACACAGAAGTAACTGTGATTTTGGTACAGTATTCATCATAGCACATATTTCAACCTCCTAATGACGAAGGCAAGCCAGATTATCTATGCTTTTAACACAGACATCATAAGTTACCGTAGATAATCAATTACAAATTGAAACAGAATAGATCTAAAATCTCCATCAGTTTATTATTTTTGATCATTTTAGTTTCATTTCTGGCAGACTGACATGTTACATTCCTTGAAGTCTCTGATCCTGAAAACATATTGTAAGACATTCTTTTCACTTGTATTTATAGTCTGCATGTATCATAAACCCCTGCATGTTTAAAGATGCAATTCAACACAAACTGAAAATCTGATGGTGAATAAAACCAATTCCAAATTCATCGTTTTGCCTTTCTAGATATTAGGAGGCTTCATAAATATTTCTGCCTTAACAGGGATTGATTAGTAATAAATTTTGGAAAAATCATGGCATAGTATATGTTCTTCAAATATCTTCACTGAAAAATTTTATGACAGTGTACTAAGGAACTACTCCAAGTTGTCTGTCATCAACTGGCTTAAAAAAAAAAAATCACTTCCACCATCACAAGTATAGCCTTCATGTGACTGTACTAGAGTCTCATTTTTTAACAAAGAATTACCCTGCATCAAAAATCACATGCACATTTTGGAACTAACTAGAGCTTTTTTATTTATAGACACTTCATATTCATAATTAATTTATTTCTTTATTGCTGATACTTTTCGTTTACTGTTATATGAATGTTAAATCAAGAACTTCTATTTTTCTTTAAAGCTCAGTTAAAATTTAACTAAGATCAAAATCATTTATCTTATCCTTAGTTCATCAATTTAATTGCATTAATATGTAACAGATTCAAAAATACTTTTTTGCATTTTAACAGAAACATTCTAGATCATAAAAATTTGGTGATTCATCTTGTCAGACTGCAAATCCCACTGAACAGAAAACACAAGGGACCCATCGTAAAAGCTACATCATGCTCTTTTACTGCATTACCTTTGCAGTTATTGGACGAACACACAGTGTTAAATTGGTACCACAAAAAAGGTTAGATTAACAAACCACAGTGATGAAAGCTGAAAGCCATAAGCACAATCAACATTCCTGGGAATGCGGGAAACCCAACAACTTTCTATAGCTTTTTTTGATTTATTTTCTAGTATTTTTAATAACCAAGCGGATGGAGAAGCACATGAGAACTGGGAACACACTTCCTAAATAAGAGGGTTTTGTCTCCAGCCAAAGGTATAAGCAAGTTTTTGCACTTTGGGTAAATCTGACAAAATTCTGAAATGCCTGATGAAGAAATCCTATTCCAAAACATAATCCACTGTTAGCAAAAGCTTTTAGCTATTATTAGTGTGATTTAAAAATTACCTAGAATTCATTTCCTGCCCAAAGAGTACGCACTGCTTGTTCTCTCTTCTGGACATACATGGTGCCAAATGTAGTGTAGAATCCTTTCATAGGAAAGCTTGTCAGAAACGCAAGTCACATTGCTAGAAAAATATCTGCATTTAGAATTCAACTTCAAAGACTCAGTTCAAAGAGTTCTGGTAAAAAATACAAAGGAAAACCAAGGTGTGTGGGGGGGTAAGAAGTATGGAACTGAGAAGTAAAGCACTCCGAAGTTTTATACTGCCAGTCTTAGTGAAAAACTAACATATAGCAGATCTTTAAATTTTAACCAGAGCCTCAATTTTATAATTAAAGAGTTTCAGTAATTACAGCACAAACCAGAAATCGGAGGACTAAGTTGAATTTTTAAGTAGTATCCTATTCCCTACGTGCAAGAACTTCTGAACACTGAACTGTGGCAGACAGAAAGTATATTCATTACATGCAGAAAAGAAATGTGGGTACTATGAGGATTGTATTGCAAATTAATACAAAATACAGCAGAAATAATAAAATAAAGTATTTTACATTGGGGACTACTATTGCCAGGCATTTGAAGGAATGTTTTTATTTACATTTGCAGAGATGCTACAACCCAAGTGACACTAGAAATTCTTACAAAGCAGGATAAAATACTGTTACATATACATATAAAAAATAAAAAACCACTATGACATTCTGAAATTAAACCAAAAATATTTCTCATTCAACATATCTAGTTATGTTAAATCATATTACAACTCTATCAAAAGATAATTTGATACTTGTCCATTACTTATCAACCATAAAGTAAATAAATGAATTTATAAAACTCTCTGAAGAGTCAAAGGAAACCAAGATTCATACCTGTAAGGAAAGGGTGGTATTTCTGATCTGCTGACTCAAGTGATCCAGTCCCTTAGGATAAATGAATCATTCAGATCAGAAGCATTATTTTCATTTCTTTCAATGAAGAAAGCCATTTAACATATTATGCAAATTTTCATTTTCCTTTTCATGAGCGAGGGAAATATTAAGGAGATTCCACACAATACAGAGTAACTTATACAGTACTGAGGTTCTGCTTCATTAATTTACACAAAACCGTAAGAAAACCCCTCCAAATTTCAAGTAACATAGGCTGTTGGTAAAAGTTATACAGAACAAAAATTAGACTGAATGATAGTGCTAGTGACTTGTGCTTAAACTGGAGATAAGAGAGTTACTCCTTGACAATCCCAAATTTAACAGAATTGAGTTGAGGTTTATACAGAGGAAAACATGATCTGGATTTGTAGTCCTGTGCAGTTCTTGGATCATTTGGTGAAGAGTAAACATTTCAAACATCTTCTTATTACTTCTGCAAAAGATTTTACATACAATAGTTGTCAATTTAAAACTGAGAGGTTTCATCTAAACATTAAAACTTCCACAGAAAATGGTATTTTTAATGAAGAAAAATGTGCATTATATTGGTAGTTTCATATAAGTCTTCTACATTGTGTATAATGTCTCTAAGCAGAAGGTTATAAATGCATGGTGAGAAAAATCTTGTCAAAACTCACCAAAAAATATAATTTCACTTGAGTAAGTGAACATGTAGTATAATGAAAGCTCAAGGAAAGGCTATAACAGGGTTTCACACTCATGTGAAAAGTTTCTAAAAGCAACAAATGAAAAATTTTTAATTTTACTTTTAGTACCTTTCCAATGCAATTTATAGAATCACAGAATGGTTTGGGCTGGAAGTGACCTTAAAGATCATCTAATTCCAACCCCACCTGCTAGCAGAGAACATCCAGCATTGTCTATGGTGGAGCAAATAAACAGCAAAACAGAGATGAGTTTTTGCAAAAAGAGAAAAGTAAAAGTCCTTGAGTTTGCTGATCTAATCATAACTAACAGAATAATAGTAATAAAGAATTACTTTATTCTGGAGAGTTTTTGCAGTATCACACAGAGCTTTTCCAAAATCTGAGTATCTAGCTTAGAACTTCGAAGCAAAAGAGAGCAAGTTCGGAAGAAGGATTCATTACTGCAGGCTTCCAGGAAAGGCTGTGCAGAATCTGTAAAAGAAAACAATTAAAATCTATATTACACAGCTCAGTGCAGGGAAAAGTAAAATAGCTGTTAGATACATTTGAAGGGCTTTAAGTGCCTCATGTTGTGCAACTATTAGAAGCATGAAATAATCCAATTTATGCTGAGCATGTGATGCAAAACTCAGGTAAAACTAGGAACTGAAAAAAATGTCAGTTCCATAGAGTTCTGACATTTCCAACCCTTGTATTAAAACAAGGCCTATTCACTTGAGAACAAAGGAAAACAGGAAACAGAACAATTTTAAACTCAAATAAAAATTATCTTGAAAGTGCTTACTCAATGCTCATTTAGCATAGTTATTTCCTTTTGATCATGTGAGGGGAACATAGGCTGTGCAAAAAGACTCAGAAGGAAATACTTTAAGCTGCTGCAAATCACATGGACAGGGACAGTACATGTAGAAGCTAATGTGATACCTGAGAGCCTTTCATCGTCAAAATACTGTCACTGTACCCTTTTTCAAGACAGGCAAAATAACACTTGAAAGGTAAAGTAAGAGCTGGATAAGAACACTTCAATATATTTAAATACCAACAAAACTCCCTTAAAACAGTGGATGAGTTTTTAGATCACATTGAACATTTCCCTCTATCCTACTCCTCAAAATCAAATCACTTCTGAAAAAGGTTAAATCTGTTCCTTTGTTATGTCATTCTCAGTTCTGATTTTATAGTAAAAACAAAGAAAGTAAGTTACAGTTGATCCTTTTTGTTAAAATGAATAGTCTTTCACATAGCATAGGGCATTTGCATCAGCAGAATACACATTAGGAAAACATTTTAATGTTTGTATGTTAAAAATATTTTTTTATTTTGTGTGTTATACTTAATAAGAAATTGCACTATGCAAATTACAGCATAAACCAATAAACACAGACATGAAAAAATTCTTTGTACATATGCTGAATACTGTAATTTATAAATAGGACATCAAGATGCTTTTATCAGTACAGAGAGGACAGATGTATCTTTCGGTCAAAATTTTCCCTTGGTGCAAGGACATACAAATTACTAAATATAAGTAGTAGCCTTGGAGTGAATTCAAGGTTTTAATTTATTTCAGGATGCTTACTGATACAAAATGAAAAGAAATGCCACAGAAAAGCTGTTCAGAATAGGGACCAAAAAAAAAAAAAAAAATCAACTAAATCAACTTGGCAATTAAAGTGAGCTTTAGAGCCTAAACAACTACTTGTCAACAAGGACCCAGTAATTCCTAGACCTTACTGTTAGGAAGAAGATCTTTCAAAACCTGTATTTTATGCTGCAGAAGGTATTATTTTTCAGAAATTGTGATATCAAAAACTCAGGGCTACCTGTCAATAACAGCAAGCAGAAAATCCTTACATGGGTTCAGAGAGTGTGCTCTGTTAACTGATACACAACTGACATACACTCAAGAGTCAGTGCTCTTTATTGAGCCACTGCTATCTATAACAGAACTTTGAAGTATTAAGTACACACAGCAGCATCTTAAACCTGGAAAAATAATTAACCCAGAAGTCACTTCTAGTATGATGCTATCCATAAGAAGAGGTGACAAAAACTATAAACAGAAATGGCAAATATGCAAAGCACAATGAATACAATCCTACTATCTTAACAGTACTTCATATCAAAGCACTTCCATCACTTAAGAGTGAGGTAAACACTTCTATACCAGTACCAAGAAGAGATAACCTTCCCTAAAGCAAGAAAAACCTAGAACTCAAATTATGTTATCATAACTTTATAGAAATTATATAGAACTACAACTTCAGAAATTCTTCTGTAGTTTGCTAGGGCTCCTACAAATGACCGCCTATTTGCAAGAAACAGGAATGGTCCTATCTATCTGCATTGCACCACTAACGAAATCTGTTTTAACAACAAAAACTTGAAACAGTATCTCTTACTTACGAAAGGTGAGAAAAGTGTAAATAAATGTGTAAGAACACTGACATTCAAAAAGTAAATTGAAAAGAAAGGTTTTTCTTCTTTCCATTGCCCGTTAAAACAAAATACTTTAGAAACCTCTCATTTTACACAAGTTCTGCATTAGCTGAATTCTGATTCATGAGAGATCTGAAATTAACAAGTCTGTTGGGATGAAGAGGGTGGTCCTACAATTTATTCCTGTAAAACTCCTTAAGTAGTCATAAAATGCTTTCACAGTCATTTTCTGCAGGGCTAAACAAATACCATTTCAGCTGACCTGGAGAGTTCTTTGCTGCCTTGCTCTTACTGGTTCCTTATAAAAATATTTACTTTAAAAATAATAAATAGTGAGATGCTGTAAGAATGTTTTGACTATGAAGCTTATGAACCAATGTAAAAGATATGCATTAATTTTAAGACAGGATTTTTACTATGAAACAGAAGAGCCAAAGTAGAAATATTTTTTTAAAGTTTGCAAAGTTCAATTATGTGTCCTGGTTTCAGCTGTAACACTTATCTTTCTTCCTAGTAGCTGGTGCAGTGTTGTGTTTTGGCTTTAGTCTGGGAACAATGCTGATAACACACTGATGTTTTAGTTGTTTCTAAGTAATGCTTACTCCAATCAAGGGACTTTTCAGTTTCATGCTCTGCCAGTGAGAAGGGGCACAGGAAGCTGGGAGGAAGCAGAGACAGGACACCTGACCCGAACTAGCCAATGGGGTATTCCCACACTACAGCACATCATGCCCAGTATATAAACTGGGGGAGTTATCTGGAAGGCCCAGATCACTGCTCCAGTCAGGCTGGGTATAGGTCGGTGGGTGGGGAGCAATTGCACTGTGCATCACTTGGGTTTTCTGAGCTTTCATTTCTTCTCTTGCTTCCCATTATTATTGTTGTTGCTATTGGTATTCTTTCTATTATCACTATATTTTACTTTATTTTAGTTATTAAACTGTTCTTATCTCAACCCATGGGGTTTACATTCTTTTGATTCTCCTCCCCATCCCGCCCAGAGGAGGAAAGGGTGAGTGAACAGCTGCACGGTACTGAGTTACCGGCTGGGTTTAAAACACGACAATGTGAAAGCAAACTGATAAAGGCACACATTTAAAAGACACATGTTCTGTACACTGTTTATATATTCATTTCATATAAGCTTTTGGAGAACATATTCTAAGTAATCAGAAAATGTACAAAATAAGCATATAATTTAAATGCATGTCTAGGTGATGAGCTAAAAGAATCTAAGCTTTACATTTTAAATATTTTGGTGCATTTTTAAATATTCTAGATCTGCACAGATTTTGTTTTTATTAACTATTTTAGAAAAACTAAATTGGAGTACATCCTGACAGGACTTTGGCACAACTTAATCTGCAAAAGCCTTGCCAGTATCCTTAATAAAATTGCAGCCTGTTGTAGCTGCATTAGCTTAACTTGATTGGTAGGCTGCAATGAACAATAAGCAATTTATCAATGGTGACAGAATTCATCTGAAATTTACCCTCAAAGTAATCAGTCATTCACAGCATAAAATCTCACCAGCTATAGTCAACTGGAAAATTCTGTTTTACACCAAAAGCTAAACCCCTCGGAAAATGAAGACTGTCCAGAATGCCAACTCTAAGTTCGTATTTTAACAAATTAGTGATTACAATTTTGCATCATTTCTAATTGCATGAGGATCTGCCAGGAGAATGGAGAACAGGTGACAGCAATGCAAGTGAGTCACACACTACTGTCTGCTAGCATGGAAAAGTTAACTAACAACTATGCATCACAGCAGAAACACTTAAAAGAAAGCAGTAATATCACATGTTGCTAATAACCAACTGTCTATAATACAGTCACCTGTACGACTTGAACCATTTGCTGAATTTAACTTTTTTTCCTATAATCAATAACCAGGATGATCAAGTGCCAGTGATTAAAGCACTATGGAGATAGGGTGACATTCCATTCAGCACAAGGCACCTCAAATGCAGATGTTTACATGGTGACCCTGAATTAAGGGAGCCCAAGCAGCAGGGTCACCCAGTATGTGTTGACCTCAGTATGATCCGAATTACTCTTAAGTTTCCTACAGTATGCAAGATATTAATGCAGACATGAGACAGGACGTATGGGAGACCAATATCATTCTCGAATGGCAGCTAAAGGTTACACCCACCAAAAAATTATGAAAAAATAAAAATAAAAATCACAGGAATACTTATGTGACAAGACATGTTCAGAATGAAAAGAGCCTACAAGGAGGGACCTCTGACTTGGAGGTCAGAAACTATCTTTATGGTAATAAGGACAGTACGAAAAGTCAGTGCAGACCTCAGTAAGAAACAAGAAGTTCTCCCAGTCATATACGTAAAAAAAAGGTAGCAAGGTCATCTCACCAACCAGATCCATTAGAGATAAGCTGCAGGTGCAGCACACCAATGTTTGAGATATGGTGTGCTAGCAAGGTCCTTTGGTCTACTGTCTCAGGGGAAGCAAGGGATGGAGAACCATGTGTCAGCAAAGACACAAGGGTTACTGATGAATTAGAAACTACACATCAATAGAAGTGCCCAGGAATAGTTATGCAGGAATTATGGCTTCCACTGCAAAAAGGTGGTGGCATCAATAGCTCAACTGAAGTGCACCTACACCAGTGCATGCAGCATGTGCAATAAATAGGAGGAGCTGGAAGCCACTGTGCAGCAGGAAAATTATGAAATAGCTGCCATGATGGAAACATGGTGGGATGACTCCCACAAGTGGAGTGCTGCAATAGGTGGTTATAAACTCTTCAGAAGAGATAGGCAAAGAAGGATAAGCCATGGGGTAGCCCTCTATATTAGGGCTACCTGACACAGAGGGCTAGAGCTTGATGATGGTGACAATGGGGTTGAGTAGTTTATGGCTAAGAATCAGGGGGAAGGACAAGACAGACATCATGGGAGTCTGTTACAGACCACCCAACCAGGATAAAGAGGCAGAGTGAAATATTCTATAAGCAGGTGAGAGAAGTCTGTCACTAACCCTTGTTTTCATAGGGAATTTCCACT